ACTATGTGGAAATGTTCCCAATGTTCTGTGAATTTGGAGCAAAACTTGTACTGGAGGGCTCTGTTTGTTTCGTGGTTTTTTTTTTTGTTGTTGTTGTTTTTTTTTTGTTTTTTTTTTTGTTTGTTTGTTTTTTAAATTTAAAAGGAAGGAACAGATGTATTAACTTACACGGAACAAATTAGGACACGGGGATTACATACACAAGAGCAGTTAGGAAGGCTGTGGCAAAGTTAGCAGATATTTTAGTTTTAAGAGATACATTCAATTCAGAGCAATTATTGACAACTGAGATGAGTCCTAACATTCTGTGTTATTAGCCCTGTCTTAAATACAGGAAAAAAAATTGCTAAGAACAGAAAAATACCATTCATGCTTTACAATATGGGGTACCAAGTGATAATGTAAAGTTACTATCTAAACTATGCATCAAAAAACTGACACTGAGCACCTCCTTTTCTGGGGACTCCACAACTGTCCATTACCAAAATCAGGCCTTAGATTCAACAGATCTGTGTAACTTAGTGAACTGAGGCACGGGACTGAATGTTTAACACAAAGCTATTTTCTCCTTACTAAAGCATAACATTGAAATGTCAAAAATAACTTTTACAAAAAGAGCACAAGATACAAAAGGTTGGTAATGCCTTCTAAGCAGACAGCCTGTATTTGTGATAATCTGACAGCATATTGCCAGTCTTTAAAATGATCACTCAAATGATTACAAATTAAGATATACTAGCGGCGACTTCTCTACTTTTTATTGTAAGTAAAACCCCGATGTTCAAAAATAATGCATACGTAAATCCCAAAACCAGACAAAATCCAGAGGGAAGTATGCAAGTCAGACCATATATACAGCCAGTGCAAGTAATGGACTTCATTTTTTCATAACACAAACTCAGTATATTGAGATGGGACAGAGAGAGTCCAAGTGTTGATATCAGAATTAGATTATACCCAAAATTAGTTGACAGTTTTGTAACTACAGTTAATTTAAAACAGTAATTTGAAACTAATTTATTAAACTGTCCTTTAAAATATTTGTCTCTGTTACCAACAAGAATGTTTTGTTGTTGTTGCTGTTGTAACACAGATCCTGAAAGACTGCACTATGGTAGCCATGGCAAAAACTGGTCTGAAACACTCAAGTCTACTGAAGTCAGTACATAAGAGATCTTATGAACCCTTAAGGCAGACACAAAGCAGACATGTGCAAGAAGGTATTATGTGTTAATCATGACTGTGCTGGGAATTTACTGAATCAGATTTTAAAACAAGGATGTACTGAGTGTAATTAATCAAATTTAAACAGCAACAAAGCAAAGACGAAATGAAATGGATTCTAGAAATTTACTGAGACAGAATCCTCTAAATTAAAGGACATAATCAAATATCATAAAGGAAAATTTAAAATATGAATAACAATGTTGAAGCAAGTTATAAGAAAGGTGTGAGAGTCTGCATTATTAAAGCACACCTACCCACCATAACATCTTTCACTATCTCTCCAGTTCACAAGTTCCAGCTTCCCTTGCAGCAAGCTGTGTAAATAGCAGAGATACTGGATATTTGTACTGCTTCCCTTTCAAACACTTTGCCTTGTTTGGCTTGGCAAAAGAGTAACTATTCTTAAATGCACCATTTCACTGGCTAGTGCAGAGTTCATACACTAATGCACTGCACAGCAGCAGGCAGTATGTTAAGCAGTATCAAGTTTCTAAGGTGTACAAAAGTGCTTCATACATCACTGTACATCTCATCCTTGGCAAGTCTTTCACAGGTCAAAAAAAAAAAAAGGCTTTATCTGCCAGCAACAAAGATGAATTTAGGAAGGTCTTGGAGACATCCTCTCCTCCTTATTTTACTTCAGCATCGCACAGTAATGTAAGATCTTGTGTACATACCACTCCCTTCTTAGCTGTTTCCATACACTGCCAAGTATTTCTAAACTTGGCTGAACCTTCCTCCTCCTCTCCACTGCAAGACGATTCTAAGATGATTAAATGATATTATTCACTGTGATGAGGATTCCAATTTTATTAATGACAACATCTGTGATTTAATCTGGATGCCAAACCCTGCCAATTTACAGCAGACTAGATTCCATATAATAGAAAGACAATAAATAAAAACAACAGGCAATTCTATTCAGTTAAATTTAAGTTAATTTCAAAATAAGTGATGTTGCTCAACAAAAGATTAAAAACTAAATTTCATGAGAACTCCAAACATTCTCAATCATTTTCACATCACCACATATGCTATCTCCTACTAGTAAAGCCCAGCACTACTGCTGCTCCAGCAGCCCCTGAAGGTAACAGGCACTAGCATCTGTACAAAACAGAAGGATGCAGGTGTAAAGCACTTTCTAAATCTGATGGTGTGGAGGCTTGTACTGGAGACAGACTTGAATGCCAACTATGCCTAAAAGGAGGCACAGACCATCACACTCTTCTCTAAGGAGCTGATCAGATTTCAGTGAACTAATTCCAAGCAAAAAGAATTAAGCAATACTTTCACAGCAACAACCAAGCTTTTTGTAGTCAGGTCTCCAGCCACAGAGACACAATATTTCTCAGGAAAATCTTTCAAGCCAAATTAATTCCAGCCTACACAATCACCAACTACATACATACTGAGAGAGACAGAATACAACACAAAATGTCAGCTGCTCTGTTGTATCCTACATTGCTTCTCTTCACTTTTAAACCTCTGTCTGCCCCCCCCCAAAGCATTCACTCACCCATACAATTCACAAATATGTATATCATTCTGAAATCAGTGTTAGCAACAGTGACTGATCTCATCTGTGTCACTGGTCTTTCCTCTCATAATACTAACAATTTCCAACTCTCCCATTTTTAACGTCCAGGAGACTGTGGGGCTTGAGTCTATGTGGTAATAAAAATTATATTTATTATCCATCAACAAGCAATGCCAAGTAGGAAGCAATGAAAAAAAAAAATATAAAGGTTAATGCATAGTGAACTTCACCTTCAGATGTCTGTTTTTCATGCATATAGAAACAACATACATATACATTGGAGCAAAGTCTAAAATAATAACAAAAAGAAAAAAGCCACAGCTATCTTTCTATAAGAATAAATATAAAAATAAAATAGGTAGTTTATTTGTAAGGTGGCCAAAGTATTCAAACAGGAAAGAATAATAGTGAGAACCCTAACAGAACTAAGCATAAGGATTTCACGTACTTTTATCTAGGAGTCAGACTGTAACTAAGTGACCTTCTATTAAACATATGACATTTTGTAATGCAGCTTCAAGCTGACATACTTAGGTTTTGATTTGATGTACAAACTCAAATACTCCAGAATTGTCAAGATCACTCTAAAGAATGTTCCAAAATTAGTAAGGTTGTATCTTTTGATTGAGGAAAAACATTGCCTTTGATCAAATACATTTTTTATTATATGGAAACTTACAAAATAACATTTTTCAACACTTTTCCCTATACTGTTATTACTAATTTCAATCTAGGCATTGGTATTAACTTATTATCCAGGCAACAGTTTCAATAACATTAGCCAACAGAAGTCAGAAGTTGATCTCGCTAATTATTAAATGTTCACTTGGAAGGGTAGCACATAAGACCACAGCCAAACTTTTGGAGTTCCCTTGTTGTGACGGTTTACATAAGAAAGGATAATAACTTTTAAAGCAGCTTCTTTTGTTGTTGTTTTTCGTTATTAACTGCTATAGCTGCATATTTTGTAAGATATTCCAGTTTTAAGTCATGTTAACACCAGTCTGATTAGAAACAAAACAGACTGGAATACACTCCAACCTAATTCACTTCTTTATCAAGGCTGGTGGAATTGAGGAAGCAGGGTTTGACATCTATTTTTGTTTCACATAAAGAATCAAGTTCTTTATACCCTCTTTCTGCCTCACACACTCATACATCTCATATACCAGTTCCCTCATCCTTTAAAATCCTCATTATGATTTCATCTCAAATGCATCAATCAAAAGTAAAATGTAATAACACAGGAATTACTGTTCACTGAAAATAGGCATCTTTAAAAAGAAAAAAAAAAAAAAAAAAAACAAAGAACACAAGAATTCTTCCAACTGGCTCCCTTATTGTCAGCACTGTGTAACTCCAGTATATCCAGCAGTGTAAATTTTCATATTTCACAAGGCAAGAGGTGAGAATGAGCGCCTCAATGAAAACTATTGCTAAAGAATGTGCAATGCTACTAGGAGACATCAGTCCACACTACTCAAATCTACAACAAACCAAATAACATCGGAATTATTCTGTTGCTGTAGGTGACATTTAATAGGGTAAGGCACTGAACCAAATTTGGGGCCTCCTGCAGATGCTGGTGAACAACACGATGCAAGGAGACGAACATCAATCTTACCGAGCAGACCAATTTCAAATATGTCACTATATTCTGTATGTCAGTATTTTCATTTAATTTCATTTCAGTAATAATGTGCTTCAACAGAAGTGGCTGTAGTTATTTTTCTATGTGACATCAGGATTCACTGGCAATTTCACATGAATTTCTTCACGGGTAAACATTTGACATAATGAATAAATTCAAGGTACTGCAAAGAGGCTCTCCATCATATTCTCCACTGTTGCTGCAAAGTTTTTTCTTTTCTTTTTAAAGTAGCATATCTACAATTAAATGTTGTCAGTAAGCACTGAAGTGCAGTCAAGAAAACTTCCTACCTTAAAGCCATACAAACTACTGATATTTTCAGTTTAAATCAACAAGTTAAATACAGAAAAATATACATAATGCCTGTGTTCTACAGCATTTACAATTCTTCCCTGACAAATTTGTATATACATAGAGAACTGTATTCTTGGCCCACTCCAAAAGTAACACTTCCAAAAACAGCACATCTGTTAACATGAAAATGCTTACAATGAGAAGTAATACTTTTTCCACGCATATCAGCATTCTCACAAGAACAGAACATTCAGGCTGTACTTATTAAGCCACAGACACATGTATACCTACCCTGCATTGTTACTGACTGCTGTAATACCCTTTACTCCAGTCTTCAGTAAACCCCCAATGAGATTTTCAGGAATCCCACACAGTCCAAAACCTATGCCAAATGAAAAAAATTGAAAACGAAGCAAGTGTTTGAAAAAACAGCTTAAACTGAAGTGAGAATGTGTGCTGGTTGATTAAAAACTATCTTCTGAACATAAAAAAATCACATTAGCTGATTAAAAAAAAAAAAGAAGTAACACTTCTAGAAAGAGCTGCACCCCAGTACTGAAATCTCCCAGCCAACTAGATGCTTCCAGTCTGGATGAAAGTAGTTTACCATCAGATGTCTGCTCATTTGCAAGTGGCCTTTGAAGCAGAGCTCCAAGATCGCGTCTCTCCTGATGCAGGCCTTAACTGCTCACTGTGCCTTTACACTCATTAGCCCTCCTATTTCTGTGCAACTAATCTTCAAATCTTCACTGCACAGAACAATTTCAAACAGAAGGAGCAAAGATTTCTCCCATGCAGTGTAACCTATAATTAGGTGATAAAAATCTGGGAACTTTAACTAAGTTCCTGTAAACTGGAAGCAAGATAATCCAGATCTCCACCCAGGTTGAGGTACCTTATACCCCGACTCATTATGCAAAAACCTCATATGCCTAAAATGAAAGAAAATGGTACATTTGGTATGTCCTAGGCCAAGCTCTGATGCTATGATTATTAGCATTTTGTTTGCAACTGGATCTCAGATTTTCATTTATTCCCATAAACAGCAACAAAAAAAAAGCCCCAAACCCTCTTCCTATTTGTAATTCTGCATTACTACAATGATGTTTCCCATGTTTTAAACATTACGTTCATTACTCTTCTCCAGTACTAAAAATCAGTTATATCAAGCTAAATAAAGAGATAGTCTTTGGGTAGTTTAAACAAGAAATTGTGAAAATTCAAAAGCTCTAGTCACATTGAAAGCTGATGTGACACAATTCCTTAACTCTTCTGGAAATATGACACATTCAGAACAATGTAGATAAGTAGTGCTTTCACTTCCCACAGCCATAAACAGCTTAGGTGATTTGTTCAAGGTCACAGGGAGCCAGTGAAAAGGCAGGTACAGATAGAGAACACTACCATAATCATAGCCTAATCAAAATTCATTTCTTCTGTTTGAAATAATGATGCTAATCCAAAAGACTGAGTTTACTTTCAGTGTTCAAACTGACCCAATTAAAGTCTAATGCTTTATTACCGACAAAAAATATTTAAGGTTTTTCTTTTCCCTCACCTAAGAAATGGGGATATGCTTACTGATAAGGTCTGCCCCTCCATTAGCAGAGTTGAAAATTATTTGTTTAAAGTACCCAAACAAGTATACACATTATCAAATTAGTTAACATTAGAAGAATCAAAACAAATGTATCTCATCTATAGAATAAGAGCTTGTGCTCATAAAGAATTGAAGTATTTACCACCAACAAGTATTGTTGCCCCATCGGGTATATCTTTTACAGCTTCAACAGGATCAGTATAAAATTTGGTGTTGCGATGACAGCTGGTAGAAAAATAGCATCCAAAAGCCTGGAACAATAGTAAAAGAAGTGAATGAATAAAAAGCAATATATACCAGTTCTGTAATTATAACCATGCCCCTGGCTAACTAATCCTGCATCAAGTGGACAATATCCAAAGAGATTTAAAATTCTGGAATTTTATCCACAACTGCTGAAAAAGTTTTACTTACTGTAAGCACATTCACAAATTACAGAATCACAGGGGTTGAAAGCGACCTCAAGAGGTTATTGAGTCCAACTCCTGGCTAAACCAGGCTCCTTACAATAGGTCACACAGGTAGGCATCCAAATGGGTCTTGAAAATTACCATAAAAGGAGACTCCACAACCTCCCTGGCAACCCATTCCAGTGTTCTGTTGCCCTTACCATAAAGACATTCTTCAGCACGTTAGTATGGAACTTCCAGTGTAGAAGTTTTAGGCTATTACTCCATGTTCCATCTTTATGCTCCTACACGTGAGTTACAGCAACCAAAAGACTGCTCTCATTCATATATTACTACTGTAGATTCAAAGGTACACAACTCACTGAGTATAGGAGACGCACATGTAGAGAGGCAACATCAATACAAATTCAGAACAGAGAGGCCAAAGAACAACTACAGAGCAGAACAGCACTGTAGTAACCAGATGTCCTTTGATGACATGATCCTTCCCCAGCCTCCTAATGCAGTCTCAAGTTGTCTTAGTGATAGAGAACAACCTAGAATCACGGAGACTGATACAAATACATGAAAAAGGGAGGGTACATGTGAAATGTGTACTTTGTGGCACAGCTGCTATTCCGAAATCATCACAATTTCTCTACTGTATTCTTAGATTGCAGTGATCCTAAATCCTTCTTTCTCTTTTCTTCTTTTTTTTTCTTTTATTATTTTCCACTATTATCATCATGGATAAATACTGCACAGAGCCAGTGCTTCAGTTGCAATTGATTAAGTCACCACAATCTCAAAAAATTGAGAGTATTTGGAAGTTAGTATACTAGCTATTGGTGTTTCCTCTCCTACTTTTACAGTGTAAATGGGAAAACTTAGAGAAAGAAGAATGAGCAAGTAAATAACAAACAAGTTAATCTACACACAATTTAAAACACAATTTAAGGCATAATTCTTCTCTACAGAGTTGTCTTAAGATTCATTTACAACCAGGGTAGTAATTTTTGGCTCAGTTTCAAGATTACACTGCTTCCCTCATAAAATTAAGGCTAGAAGGGTTTAGACTGCATATTAAGAAGAACGAATGCTTATTTCCTTCCCATTGGGAACATTAATAGTCACCCACTTTGATGAACTCAGAAAAATATTTCTAAGTGGGAACTGTAGTACTGAGAAAGAGACTCTTCTCTGCTGTACCACAGCTATTTCTTTCAGAAATATTTTTTCAGAACTGCAGTCAGACTGGAAAGCACACACCTCCTGGCCCCATTTGGCAAGAGCATGACAAAAGAAGCAGGGCTAGCAGCACCAGGTATTTCAGTACAACAAGTCTGCAGGCAGGCACAGAATGGCAGATGAACGGAGGCAAGCGGGCTGAAGGGAAGCTGGGTACTGCTGCATAACCATGCTCAGCTCATATGGATAAGAATGTTCTTAAGCAACCACGTGGTAAATCTTCATAACAGCAGAGAACAAAGGAACAGCACATGTATCCAGCATGCTAACAGGCTGTGTGTCTCCAGTGAGAATTCCCATGCTACTACACTAAGTATGTTTTTCTCAGCCCCTTCCTCATTCTCTGTACCATTGGCAACAGTCTGTGACTGCACTGGAGGAGGAAGCTGAAGCCTCTGTACAGGGCTGCAACTCTGGCAGCCCAGGTTCCCAAGATGCATAGTAGAGTTTTGGTTTAACTCAGCAGGCAGCGCACTATCCTTTGTAGTGGGATGGTGCAGAGAACTGGGGTAAGCAAAGTAAAACCAATGGGTTGAGACAGATAGTTTAATAGATCAGGAAGTAGGGGAGGGAGGAATAATAAAAAGGAATACCTAAGGTGAGTGATGCACAACACAAGTGTTCACCAATGCTTAGCCAGTCTCTGAGCATCAGAAGCTCCCAGCCAACCGCCCAGCTCTATTGTTCAGCATAACACCACATAAAGTGGCACATCACTTCTGCCAGTTTGGGTCAGCTGTCCTGGTTCTGTCCCCTCCCAGCCCCTGGCTGACAGGGCAGCATGATAAGCTGAAACATCCTTGGCTCTGTAAAAGCACCACTCAAAAAGTACTAACACATAGCGTGAGAATACAGTTGATCACACCCCAAAGTCCAACACAGCCATGTCAGTCAGACACTACGGAAAACTCTACCCAAGCCAAAATGAGGACAACTGGGAATAGAGGAGTCAACCAGAATGGTCAACTGACTGGAAAGAAGCTTTGCAGAAAACAGCAAGACAGCAAGAAAGAAAAAGGCAAAATTCACAGAAAAGCAGAAGTATAATTTAGCATAATGAAGACTAAAATGATGATCATTTGCTTATGAAGACATGATGTGAGGCAACTACGAGCACTCGAAAGCAAACAAATTTGTTTTTCCATTCAGTTTTTCAACTGAAGCACTAAGAAATGCCATGAGTACAGCCACCTGGGGAAGAAATTAATTAGTTCTGGCTCCACATAGGCTGGAAAGCACCAGAGCGGCGAGGTTTGGCGCAACCTTCTTCGCGGACAGCGGGGCGAGCCGCTAGGCAGCGCAGGGCCGCGGTCCGACACCTGCGCCTGGCAGCGCAGCTCCGCACTCGCAGCGCGTGTGGAGTGCCGCCCGGGCAGGGAGCGCCGGTACGCAAAGCCTCGTCCTGCGGCCGGATAGCAAGAGAACCGAACCCGCAGCCCGGCCCACGGTCACCGCCCCGCATCTCGCTACCAGTGCTGCTGCCCGTCCGGCTTCCTAGGGCCGGAAGCGTCCTATTAATGGCGAAAATATATATAATTAAAAACCAGTGAAAAGCATCCCTTCGCTAACGCGCACGGGCGAGACCGCCCCTGGAGGCGTTGGCGGCAGGGCGGTCCCCGGCCTCTCGCCTCGCCGCGGGGATCCCGCCAAGGTCACGGCAGCCCCGCCGCGGGACGACACCGCTTCGTCGCGCTTTACCTCGGCGCCCCGCGCCCGCGCGGCGGGAAGGAGGATGCGGCGGCCGAGAGGCGACAGCAGGAATTTGTACGCCGCCATCTTCGGATGCGCGACTCCCGGAGAAGGAGCGGAGGGGCTGCGGGCAGAGGCGAGCAGGAGGTGGCGGCCGTCCAGCGGCAGGCGGAAGATCCAAGCACGCTGAGGACGGCGGCTCGGGGTCACGTGTGCCGAAGGAGGGTGAGGGGCTCGGCACCGACGCCCACTGACGTCGGCTGCGCCCTAGGCGGGGCTGGCGGAGGGGCGGTGGCGCGGCGGGGGGCCGAGGCCTGCGGGAGCCGGCGGCGGGCGACCGGACGCGGCGAGCGATCCTATCGGCGGCGAGTGCCCGTTCGGGCGGCCGGGACAGCCCCCGGAATTGGGGCGTCCCCTAGGGCTCGGCCTTCGGCGGCAGCGAGCAGCGTCACGGCCCTGCCCGGTGTCCCCGAGCCCGCGCCCCGCACGCTGAAGAAAGAACACGGCTAGCAGTTCGGCTCTTAAAAACGCTCTGACTGATGGCAAACGTGCATCGACCGACGTGGAGTACTAATTAACGTTACAGATCATCAGTGGTGATGTGTGTGTTCTCTGCTTTACTGGTGGCGCCCTACTGTACAGCAAGACAACTTGCTCCGACAAATGTATCCTTGTTAAGTTTTCTTTCAGGATTTCAGATGTGTGCTAAGTTTATTCGCAGATCCGTCTTTCTTGCACATCCAGAGAAGATCTAACCGCCTAACATTCTGTCCTGTCAACTCCTGATCAACAATTGAAACCACGAGCATTAAACTTAGAGATGTGGGCTTTCAATGGTTAAGTTCCAGACTCAGAGCCCTCAAGGTTAGCCAGTCCCAGGCAGCACGTGGGCTCTCCCAGGCATCTAGATGGTGCCTTTGGGTGGAAAATGTTACTGGAATAGATGTATACTTGTTTAAGCAGTCACATGATATGAACGTTTTAGTGCCAGCACTCCTGTATCTGCTGGCAGGAAAATTCAAGGCATGCCTTCACCATTATTTACACCTTCTATAAATACCCCTAAGTGAACAGTTCATATAATAAGCTGTCAAATGGAACAAAGATTCACAGGAAAATGCAAGAAGCACTATAAATGCAGGAAAAGAGAAAACCCCCCAGAGTAGACATTGCATTAAGTTACATTCCCTGCATTGCTGTTCTCATCTGCAGCACAACTAACCAGCCTTGCTGTATTCAACTTTTGTCAGGTTAATTTACAACAAAGAAGCCGAGCTCCTGAGAATGCTTCTGGTCTCCCTCAGAATTGTTTGTGCACGTCCATCTCATTTGGTCAGTGCTGGTCCATCCTTGCAGCAATGCCAATACAGCTACAATTCAGCTAACACACAAACCTCACAGGCAGCAGTGAAGTATCCCTGTTTGGCTCTATGTCAGTAATGTTGGCAAACAGGCAAACTGTTTTATTTGTCTGTACATAAGGAAAAACCAGAACTGAGATGAACAACTTCATTTCTAAACAAATTTTGTAACATTTACTTATAGATGACCTAGATAATAAGAAAAAATGACAAGATCCTGTGCAATACTATTCCAAAACTTTAAGATTCTCTCAGAGCATTCACAGGACATATATTTACCTAGAGGAAGACAGCAGGGCTACCACTTGCATGAATGACTGAACACCTCAGTTAACCACGTGAACATAAATGTTCAACTTATTCACAAAGTTCAAGTGAAAGGAAGTTACTACAAAGAAAAAAACAGTCTTAGCAAAGAAAAATGGGTATTTTCAGATTTAGTGAAAACTAACATTAAAAATCAGCATAGAGTTGGCAAATGAAAGTTCATACATAATGTAAATACCAAGGGCAAAATTCAACTGGAAAACAAAAAAGCCACATTCTAGTGATTTACAAAAATTAAAGCAAGTGTCAGAATCACAGCATCAAGATTTCTGAAGAAAAAATTATTGATCAGTTTGAGGAGTCCTGCCAACTGACTTTGGTAACAATTTCTCTTGAGCCTAGGATATAAAAATGGACATTAGAGTATGAAGGGATCCTGAAGCTACATAATGAAAAAGAATCAACAGCTGTTTCACAAGAGCAGTTATTTATCCCTGAATAACTTCTACAGCAGCCCATGGAAAGCTAATAAATATTTTTATTAAATTGAGAAACTTAGTAGAACCCCACCTAAATGGGAAAACAAACAAACAAACAAACAAACAAACAAAAAAAAAAAAAAAACCATGATCTGTTGGCTTTGTTTGTTTCATACTACTCCATTTACTCCATTTTCCATTATAACACTCATAGTTTAGGCAAGATGCCATACTTTCTGATACAGAACAGTAGAGTGTCTACATCATGCATCATGTCATAGGATCACAGAATATCTCAATTTGGAAGGGACTCACAAAGATTGAGTCCAACTCCCAACCCCACACAAGACCATCCAAAATCCAAACCCTACGACTAGCAGCACTATCCAAATGCTCCTTGAACTACAGCAGCTTGGGGCCATGAGCACTGCCCAGGGGAGTCTGTTCCAGTGCCCAAACACACTGTGGTGAAGAATATTTTCTCAATCCCTGACCGGACCCTCCTCTGACACAGCTCCATGCTGCAATGTTGGGTAGTCTTAAAAACAGAAAACTTCAAACTTTCTGACTACTATAGATACTAGACTCCATTCAAAACCAGGGTATTTATAAAGTTATACAATACTTCAGTTAGGAAATTTTTAATTTAAAAAAAAATATCACAAAAGTAATTTATTCAACATGATCCTTGGCACCTCTATTCATGTTATAATAACACATATTTAGTAACTGTTATCCATACTGTCTGGATTAGTTAAGTGTAATAACCTTCAGCTGTGACAGATAGCATAGCTACTAGCTCTGGAAAAGAGAAAAGTGATTTATCTTTCCTTTACTGGAGGAATGAGAAGGAAGAAAAAAAAAAAAGCCCATTCAGCAGATATTTGCAGACATCATCTGTGGAGGTGATGTATGTTAGTAAATTGGAAGCTGGTTTAAATTCTAATTCAGTAAATGTTACTAATCTCTTACTCTTTCTTTTTGTCAGGATTTCTTTTGCAAGAATGAGGTTATTTTACAATCTACCCTTTTTGAAGATTAAACATAAACATAACACAAGGGGCTGCAGAAACAAACTGGAAACAGGAATCCTGAGCATCCATCACACTGCATGTCAGTTCATGTTGGTTAGTACTGCTGTAACAGGCTTTTCTAGATTCTGCAATGTAACATTACACAGGGTATGTTCAAACAAACCTCATCAGCAAACACAACTTTAAAGCAGGCTCCGGGCAGTCTTTAAAAAACTACTAGTGAAGAAATCTTTGTCCTTGTATTTGAAATGTAACTGACAGAAAGAAATACAAAACATTAATGTGGTAACAAAGAGCCACTTCTGCAGAAATTGCATGCAGTAAACAAATCATACATCCCATAACTCACTGCAGCTAGTGCTGCACAATGAGACTGTAAGACAGATATTGGAGCTGGAAATGAAGAAAAGCATGAGCCTTGTCTACCAGTTTCAAGGAGGAAATGAGTTACAGGTGAAACTTGGACTTTGCCATCCATTTCATGGGTGTGGTGCTTAGTTCTTGGTGACAAGAGTCTGGCATGCAGATCCACACATGCAATACAAATCCATGTATTTGATCATCCAGTTTGTAGGGAGACAGTTCCCTGCACTGGGAAAACTGGGTGCCAATCAATTCTTATCTGAATTGCTTTGCTCAATTCAGCTGCTGAAGAAAAAACTGTCTTGAGTTCAGAACTTCCTTCTGCAGTGGCCAGTCCATCAATACTGGGTCAGTATTCTCAACTGGAAGCAGGATCTGAAGCCTACATGTTCATTAGGAAAATGCAACAGTCATTTTGTTTCACATTTCATTTTTCAGTTTCAATCAAATGAACAGAAGAATTACTTACGCAGCTAAGATTTCACATAATCACAGAATCACAGAATTGTAGGGGTTGGAAGGGACCTCCAGAGATCATTGAGTCCAACCCCCCTGCCAAAGCAGGATCCCTGTAGATTCCCTATAGATTCCCTATCCCACAAGATACAGGACAAAATCTGATTTTTTTATTATATTCGTTACAAGGTGATTTAAAAAGAAATATTAATTTATCCAATTTTTGGAAGTACTGGTTAGTCTCAGAATTTGAAGATTTCCTTTAGCTCTCTTGATTTTGGTAAAACACAACATTTTTATCTGGCTCTACAAATGTGCACATTTGTGCCAGATGGCTGTTAAGCCTACATCGCAACTGAGTTCCCTGCATTAATGAACATACATCTTTTTATTGTGAAGCTCTTGGACCTTTTGTTCACAATTTCACCAGCTCCAAACAGCTCTTCAGAGATCCAGAATTTTTTTTTTTTTTCCAGGGGCCAGTTTGAAAGCATATTCTAACAGTTCACAGGAAGTCACCACTCTGTTTTGGGAACTTTGTGCAGCTTTAGCAAATACAGTCATTTAAGATCATCAGTACCATGAAACATGCCCAGTTAAATCCCAGAATAGATTGAGCACTGTAGAGATGCCCTGTTACATCCCACTGAACTCTCAAACAGGGCACGCAGTTTGACATTTATATTCCTCCAGATACCATGGACATCCTCACTTAAAACTAGCAGGCCTCAATTAGGAACTACATCTGCAGCAAATTTAGTACAGAGATATTTAAGTAACCACAGTGACCTCATGGACTGCACTGAAACTAATTACTAATGGCGAAAGTGTCTCAGATTCTCATATTCCCAAATTCACAGATTCCCTAAACTGCCAACTAATTTGCTCGACTCTCAGCTATTATACTGCCACACAGATTAATACAAAATCCCCTTAGTAGAATTAATTTGCTTTGATCCAAGGAAATTAAGAACAAAAAACTCTGTATGATGTAAAAAAAAAACTTTACTACAAGTTAGGTGAAAGTTCTCTAAGGTAAGTTACACATTACAGTCTCAAGAACTTACTGTTTCAAACCGGGGGAAAAATGTCTAGGTTGCCATGCAGATTATAGCCACCCATATCAGCTTGGTACTCAGTCAGCATACAAAAAAAAAAAAAAAAAAAAAAAAAAAAGACAGTATTCAGCCGGATAAACAATCCAACTTCATGCACCAAACCATTTTGCAACTCTGAAATTAATG